GGGGGGAACCCGGGGATGGAGCCGGCGGTGGGGCCGGTGTGGGTGTAGTGGTGGTTGGAGATGGTAGGATCGAGTTGGGTTGGAATGAAGCTTGAAGATCATCCAGTCCCGACACCTCCCGCCAGCCCAGGCTGCTCCGAGCCCCATCCGACCTGCCCTCCAACACCTCCAGGGCTGGGGCAGCCGCACAGCCTGTGCCAGTATCTCGCCAGCCTCACGTGAAATTAACTTCTTTTGCCTATCTAACCTAAATCTGCCCTCTTCCCGGTTTGAAGCTGTTACCCCCTGGCGCTGCAGCGGTGGTCTTGGCAGCAGAGCCCTTGGCTGCTCGCCCGGAGCCCCATTTCTGGGGCTCCCCAGCCTGAGAGGGACGTGGAGCTGTTGGAGCGAGTCCAGAGAAGGGCCACAAAGGTGGTCAGGGGGCTGGAGCAGCTCTGCTATGAAGGCAGGCTGAGAGGATTGGGGTTGTTCGTCCTGGAGAAGAGAAGGCTCCGGGGAGACCTTACAGCCATATTCTAGTACCTGAAGGGGACCTGCAGGAGAGCTGGGGAGGGGCTTTTTACAAGGGCGTGTAGTGATTAGTGTGTAGGTTAAGGTTAGATGTCAGGAGCAAATTATTTCCTGTGAGGGTGGTGAGGCACTAGCACAGGGTGCCCAGAAAAGTTGTGGATGACCCCTCCCTGGAAGGGTTCAAGGCCAGGCTGGATGGGGCTTGGAGCAACCTGGTCTAGTGGGAGGTGTCCCTGCTTATGGAAGTGGGGTTGGAACTCGTTGATCTTTAAGATGACTTCCAACCCAAACCATTCTATGACTCTATGGCATGTTGTCCCCTAGAGATACGTCAGTTACTCATGGGTGAGGTTGGAGGCGTCTGCTGTCGCGTCTCCTGAAGATGAAAGGACTGGTGATCCTGGCTGTTGTAATTCTAAAATGATGGTGTAAGGAGATTCTGCCAAACACAGGACTCTGTAAGAAGATGGTGCCAAACCCAGGCACGGTGTCAGCAGCTGGCCAGGGGGTGCCAGCAGGGTCCAGACTCCTGGCTGCTGCCATGGGTGCTGACAACCTGAACAGCTACTGTGCCAACACCAGTAAAGCCTGGGTTGGGATGCACCCAGCCTAGTGTAGTGTAATAAAAATGCAGCTAAATGCATGCTCACCCTCTGGATTCTGCCAGGGTCTTGGAACTGGCCCTGCAGAAATGATTAACTGTGTGTGCTGTACATCACGTTAAGAGTTTAGCAAAAACAGTTGTTTGCAGAGCAAGACTCAGCTCCTGCTTTTCTAAGATGCCATTTCTCCTGGACACGCTGAAGGCTAGTGTGCTGATAGCAGGAATAGCTGGATCTCCTGTTTATTTAGCTGGCCTCACTGGAGCCAGCAGGTGGTCTGTTTCACATGTGCTCTGCCCTCTTTACAGCTGGAAAAGATATGGGACCCAATAGTTCCCAAGTGATGAAACTAAGGATTTAAGAACAGTTGCTGGCCATGCCAGTGATGGGCAGAGTCAGCGTTCAGTCATGGTTCAGTGATGGTTCCAGATGTGTAAGATGTAACAGATAAAAAATGAGGAATCAGTTAAAGATACGGAAAGTGGCAGTTCTCTGTATATAGTAAAGAGTAAAATTAATCTGGGGTGTGGTTATCCCTTCTGATCTTTGCTCAGTTCTAAGTGGGATGCAAAGAGTTAGGATAGCTGAGCCTGCTGAGGAATGTGCCTTTGGACAAGGTACTTGGCTGTCTGTCTTGGTGATGGCCAAATTGTTAGTACCACTGTTGGAAGTGATGGAAGAGCCCTGTATTTTTCTTTTAATACTGACTAGCCCAGTCCTGCTTTGCAGACTTCACTGCTCAACCACAGTATACGTGTCCTCTGCATTGTAAATATTCCGTTTCCATTGCTCAATAGTGTTCTGAAAGAGCTTTTGGTTTTAGTTTCACATGCTAAAGTTGTTTGGATTCTTCCATCAGATTTTTCAAGGCATGATTATTTCCCTTTCTTCTTTTATTTTTTATTGTTTTGGTTTTTTTCTGACCCAATGGACCTGCACTGTAAGCTTGAGTTAAGCAGTCTTAATATATTGTCAGCATTTTATGGATTCCTCTGCAGAAACATTTGATTTGTTCCAGGAAATCACATGCAGACACCACAGTTCTCTTCTTGGCAACTGTGGATGAGTTTTGAATTGACACAGGTAATTTATCTGTATCCCCGGACTGCTAAGCAATGCATTCAGCAGCTCTCAATAAGGGCTAGAGCTCCTTCCCTGGGAAATTCTCTTTCTTGTTGAATCACTTTGAGATTTATCAACAGGACTGTGGATCTGAGATAAAACAACCCATGTTTGTAAGAAATCTCTTTCTGTAGTTGACTTGTGGGTAACATATATAATTCACCCTTGCTCATGCTACATCTCTACTTTGTTTGAAAATGTATCTTTATATATATAAAAAATTTATTCCCCCCCCAAGTCTTTTCCATATTCTCAGTGTCTGGGGCAGAGTTTACACATTCCCTTGTGCTGTGTCTGCTAGTTTTCTTTCCTGAAAGGACCTCTTTAAGCATTGTTTTTATCCTGTGTTTTTCCTTTCCTCATGGGTGTGTCTCCTTTGCTACTTCCTGCAGCATCTTTTTGTTATTATTATTATTATTGTCTTTCCCCCTTCCTATTAATAACAACATGTGGAGGTGTCCTTTCTTGCTTCTTTTAGACAGCAGCAACCAACTTCTGAGATAGTAAAAACTTGCAATACAACTGTGCATTTAGTTGAGAAATTGCCCCTAAGCTTGTTTCTCTTGGACTTGCCTGCTTAGAATAAAGGTTAAATGCCCCTTTATGTCTGTCTTGTTTTGCAGTCGTATTGCTTTACCTTTCCTTTTAGAATCCTAAAAAGGGTTAGGCCTCTTCATGGTTTGATTAATGCCTGAAATTTTATGCTTAACAGTTATTTCTGGAAAGAAGTGATCATATGTCTTTGTAAGATGAACGACGTCGCTATTTTTATCTCATTCCTTAGCAAAGACAGCAGAATCTGGGAGTACTCAGCATCACTGCTTATTACGTAAAAAAAATCACTGGTTCTTTCATGCTTTCTGTGTTAAGCTCTGTGACAGTCTGGCATCTGACAATGTTTGTCTCACAGAGGCTGTTTCATGGACCTCCTAGGAAGGAAACTTAGGATACTCAGTTTATTTTTCTCCCTTCTTAAACTAGATCCTAAAATTACCTGGCTGCTGATACAATCTCAGAAGGCAGTGGCAGAGAATCACAGAGCAAGACTTGTATTGTGCCTAAAGCTGCTCTCTCTCTGCTTCACTGAAGACTTTTTTTTTGGCATTTATTCACCTTCAAGGCTTTCTCCTACTGATACAGAGAATAGAAACCTTCCCAGTGATAAACTAAGCCTCAATCTCCTGCGTCTCCGTAAAAGGATTTAGTGACTTGCATTGTTTGATTCCGGGTGCCAACCTTACGTACAAGAGTTCAAAAAATATTTAGACATCAGCAGCAGTTTATCAGACTGAGTTCTTTGCTACACTGGTCTCCAGTGTAGTTGTGTGAATTCTCAGGAATCTTCAGTGAAGCCTTCTTGGAGCTTGGTATATACCTTGGTAATAAACAGTGTGTGCCGAGTTCTGTAGCACAGTTTTGTGAAATTGTTCAAGTCCCAGTGCAGGACCTCTTTAAAAGCTAAAAGGAGAAGGACAGGGAGTGATTACATGGTACAATAAGCAATATGAGGAACAGACAGGCTCTGAACAAGACAAACCCTAGATGGAACACTCTAAGCATGTAAAACAAAGGGGTGAAACAAGATGTGTTGGTGGTTAGTATATAATAATGTGAGTCATCCACAGTGAGCAGTACTGAAAAACCTGGCTGCTTTTACATAATCTGAGGGTGAGAAACTGTATTTGGAGTCTGAGCGTGGAAATGAAAACTGAAGATATCCTAACAAAGCTCTGTCTTTGTGTAGTTAATAATATCATAGTGGGCATATGATGAATGTTAATTGAAGGTTGTTTGTTTAGTTGCTGACGTGTCTCTAGCTGCCTTTTTTACTAGAGCAAAACAGAAAGAACAATTATATGCAGACTGCAGCCTTCCAATGTCTATACATTCATGTGACAACTCTCATATATTTAGCTAATCAACATCGCACATGCAGCTGTGGATACTGACTCACTGTCAATGAACCTCTG